GCTGCCGCTGGCGCCCGGGGCCTGGGGCTGGGCGCGAGGTGCCCCCCGGCCGCCGCCCAGCAGCCCGCCGCTCTCCATCATGGGCCTCATGCCGCTCACCAAGGAGGTGGCCAAGGGCAGCATCGGGCGCGGCGTGCTCCCCGCCGTGGAACTGGCCATCGAGCAGATCCGCAACGAGTCGCTCCTGCGCCCCTACTTCCTCGACCTGCGGCTCTACGACACCGAGGTGAGTGTCCGGCCGCCCGCGCCGTCGGGGCTGGGGGGGGGAGGGGGCGGCGGGTGAGGGAGTGCCGAACCGAGGGAAGCTTCGACCCTTGGGCAGAGCCCTTGAGATTGAGCCGCCTGTACCTGCCGAGGGCTCCGCGGGCTGGTGCTCAGTGTTCACCCCGGGGTCCCTCCGGGCTTGGCTGGCACAGCTGGTACCAAGATTTGCTGAGCATCTCCCTCCTCTGGGATTGTGTGTGTGTATGTGTGTTGGGGGGTGGGGGACAGAAGACGGGTTTCCTTTGACCGGAGAAGGAGTGTAGAAGGTGGGGACTGGACCCTCTAAAAGGCCTGCAGTGGTTGCCCAGGTCCCGCTGGTGGGGCTGTGGACTGCCGGGTGGGAGGAACAGGCAGGCGCATTGACTGGAAACTGGGCCACTCGGGGCTAGAGAGGCCATGGCCTGCTCGCGGGCCCCCAGGAGAGCCCGGCCGCGCTTTGAGGTCCGGAGGGCTCCGGGACCCGAGGGGCCAGAGCGCGCAGGAGGCTCGGAGCCCGCACCGCGCGGGCAGGTGTGGGGCCGCCGGCTCTAAACGGCTGCTGCCTGAATGTGCCCGGCGCTGCCTGCAGCCGGAGCGATTTTATGGGGAGACTCCCCCTCGGTTTAGTTGCTCAGAGAGTGCCCTGAGCAGGTCTCGCTGCGGACGCGCAGGGGTGTCCGGCAGCGCCGCTGCTGTCGGCCCTGAGGCTGCAGGCGCAGTTTCTCCGGGCGCAGACTTGAAGCACGGACTTGGAGCGCAGCAGCGGGCTGGCCCTCTCGGCCTCCTTCTCCGAGGGGAGCGGCAGAGCCCAGGGCTTCGCATCCCAAGCCCCCCGCCTCACGCCCGCAGCGCGGGTTCTGGCTGAAGCTCCAGCGCGGACCTACACCGCCTGCACGGCTGCTGGAGGGGGTCTGGAGGAGCGATCGCCGGCCGCGCGAGGTCGGGTTTGCGAGTTTTTCCGGACTGAGGGAGCCCCTCCGCTCCGGCCGCCGCGTCTCAGACGCGGCCTGAAGGGGGCAGTGATTTCCTGTGCAGTGCAGTCTGTTGGCGCCTTGAGCACCGCGCCAAGCCGGGCCGGGTGCTGGGCTTGACCCCGGCTTCCCGGAGCTCCCCGGGAGCCTCTGCTCCAGCCCAGGTGGCTCTCCTCCCACCCTTCGGAGAGGAGCTTTGCGCTTCCGCGCTGCCCGTGCGGCCTGGGCTCCGCTTCCTTCTCGCCTGATATCCCCCCTTTTTTTGGTCCCCTGAGAAAGAGCAGAAATCTGGACGGCATCTTTATTCCCCGCCTCCCCCCTTCACTGATGAGCCAGCCTGCTCTGCGCTGTAAATAAAAGGTGAAGGAACGGGTGGCAGTTGGTGGCGGTGCGCGCAGCCTGCTGCAAGCGGAGAGCCTCCTTCTGCCCCGGGAGGATGCAAGCTGGGAGGCTGAGCAGAGCTAACCCGAGTGTGGAATTGTTTCTGAATGGCATTCTCGTCGCCCTCATCTTTGCCCGAACATTTCAAGTTTTCCGGGGGACTTGTCTGGCACGCAGAAATGCACAGCGCACCTCAGTTCTGACCTAGGCATGTCCCCTCGGCGCTGTTTCCCTGTTGCCTCCATACATACTCTTTCAGAAGGGACAGGAGAGAGCCGGTTCTTTGGAGACAGAAACAGTTGTAGCTAGGGCAGCCCTGCTTGCATCATCACCGAATGTTGTCATCTGCAGAATGTTTTCATCATCAATTGATTCCCTTCAGAAAGCCTCCCTGAAAGAGATTTCACATTAGCTTGTTTGTGGCAGTGAAGGCATGGGTGCTTGGTTTCAGGGTGTGGGTTGAAGCTTTTACATTTATTTTTCAAGTGTGTCTTGATGACTTTCTGAGTGAGAGGGCCCAAAGGCGAGAAGATGAGGTTCTTCAGTTGGTGGGAATCTGCAGGAAGCAGTGTGGGACGGAGGGCGCAGGGTACTCTCAGCCTCGTGCAAACAGAGAAGCGTCTCTGGCCGTGTGAAGGGGCACAGAGCAAGGGCTTTGCGGTGGGTGGGACCTGGGTTCTAGTCAGATGCCAGTTATCTTCCCCTTGGGTGACCTTGAGTGGGGTCATTGGATCTGTCTTCACCTTAGATTCTCGCATCTGGAAAAGCGGGGCTGTTGCACGTACTAGGTAGGGTGGTGGTGTGACGCTCCAGGGGGATAACGGGCCCAGATGGGGAGTGCCGTGAGCTGGCGGGCCCGGCAGCCAGGCCTCCGTCTGACATGCTGGGAGCACCAACGCAATGTTTCCTGCCTCCCTTCCTGCGTTTTCCTCTGGCGTGGTCACAAGTAAGACGTTGCAGCTTTAGGTGTGATAAAATGGTCACAACTAAACATCAAGACTGCTTATTTTGTTTTTCTCACTTTTGAAATCTTGTGAAGGATCAGTGAAGTTATCACCAAAAAAGAAGAATCCTGGCTTACAATCAAATACGTATGTTATCTCCTGCCATGAGGTGTCATGTTTGGGAGAACATGCAGGTGATATAATACTTAATTTTTTCAAGTGGCCCATCTCCATAGGAGAGGTACTTTCTTGCTGAGCTGCAGTAAAGGAATGCTCCGTGTGGGTAATTGCAGCAAGATCCATAGTGATCCGAAGGGTGGTTGGGGCCTGTTTTAGAGCATCTGGGGCCTGTTTTATTCACATGGGCCGTCTTTGCGGATTGTGTGTACTCCCTGATCACTTCCTGGCTGTGTCACTTGTTGTCTGTAGACTTGAACACAAGACGGATGTGGTGAATGGATTTTGGCTGGCTTTGCTGACATTTGCTGTCAGTCAATGGCCAGAGGCTGTGGGCAGCCAGGAGGGACCTTGGTCCACGCAGTCTTCAAAGAGATGGAGATTTACCAAGTAGTGGGTTAATCTGACCACTGGGAGAGCCTCTCTCAATAAAGGAGCCTCCTGCCTGAATTTCTTTAGGTTGACCCTCTCACTATAATTAGAATAACACTAGAATGTTCAAAGCCCCACTCAGGGCCTTGTGTTCCTAAAAATGAAATATCCCAACAGAGCATCTGCTAGTTAGGACCTCTTTTCTCTGCTCTAGATAAAATCTTATCCCAAAGTAGAGTTGAGTATATAAAAACACAAGTGAGACGACTGAATATACAAATAAAAGAAGCATCAGAAGACATATAGAAGCATGGAAGTTATTATACCAAGAACCTGGGTTATTACAGTTTTGTGTATTACATTTTAGCTCTGAGCTTCCTGACAGTCAAGGTAAAAAGGTAAAAATGGTGGATTACATTACTTACATGTTTGATTAAAAGATTCTGAAGGACGACGTCTTTTTAAAAAAGTTTCATGGGAGATTCAGAATGTTCTTCACATGTTGTTTCTCATCCTTCAGTAGCCACATGAATAAAATTAAATAATAACCAAGGGATGAGATAAGAAACAGTGTTGGCTTTTCTACTTTGATTAAAGTAATGTTTATTTTAAAATTTTTTATTTTTTAAAGATTTTATTTATTTATTTGCCAGAGGGAGAGAGAGGGAGAGAGCACAAGCAGGGGGAACGGCAGGCAGAGGGAGAAGCAGGCTCCTCGCTGAACCGGGAGCCTGAAGCAGGGCTCGATCCCAGGACCCTGGGATCATGACCTGAGCTGAAGGCAGACGCTTAACTGACTGAGCCACCCAGGTGTCCCTAAAGTAATGTTCATTTTAGAAAAATGGAAAATTAGAAAGAAACATGAAGAAAAATAATAATTGCTCATAATCCCCCTATACAAAGACAATTACACCTAATAATTAGCATTATTCCCTTCTAGTTGCCAAGTTTTACTATTTTATATACTTGAGATCTCACTCTATGTCCCCTTTTATATTTTGTTTCATTAATTTAACATTATATTATGGGTACTTCCCCATGTCCTCAGTTGCAAAGATGATTTTGAGTGGCGGTACACTATTCTATCCTATGGGTGCACCATAAATATTAAGTCATTCCCCTGTTGTTGGATTTATATGTTTTCCCACTTGTTACTAGTTTAAATTATTATGTGATAAACTTAGGGAAAGTTCAGGGAGCCAAAGGAGCACATTCTAGGTGTGCACCTCTCAGGAAATCTACCTTGATGCAGGGATCCAGCTTAGAAAAATCCAGGGGAAGCCTCGTGATAGGCATGTCCTTTCCTTAAGCAGCTTTGCCAAATATCTGTTCTCTCATTCACTGTGCTTTCGAAAGGGCCCAGGCAGCTGGTGGATGGAGGCTGAGCTTTTCAAGGGTGTCGGAGTACAACTCAGCAGGCAGTAATTGAGCACCTACTGCAGTCACTGGTGCTGCAGAAGGGAATAAAACCCAGCCTTGGGTTCAAGGGCAGAACTGGTGCATAGGGGAGAACAGGGCCAGCACATATTGGCCATTTTCAAGGTAAGATAGAAAGGGATCGTGGTGATGACTTCACGGTTCTATGAATATTCAAAAACTGTAGAATCATATACTTCAAAAGAATGAATGTTATGATATATGAATATATTCCAATATTCTTAGAAATAAAAAGATAGAAAATGAGCCCTTTTCGGATCAGACTACCTCTTCTTGTGGTTCTAGCCCCACTGCCCAGCGTGGTACCTGGCCCTTAGGAGGTGTATTGCTTCGGATTCCTTGCAAGTGATAGAAATCCCACTTTAACTGGTTCATGTGACTGAAAAATCCCGGAGTGGGCTGTCCTCAGGCATGGCTGAATCCAGGGACTGAAATGCTGTCTTAAAAAATGTCTCTCTCTCGGCTCTGATTTCCTCTGTTTGGCTTTACTCTCAAGCTGGCTGTGCCCATGTGGTGGCACAGATGGCCCTTACCAGCTGCAAATTTACACACTCCCAGTTTAGAAACTCCAGTAAGAAGAGTGTTCCTTTCCCAAATGTTTCAGCAAAAGTCCCAAACTCAGCTCTCGTTGGCTTGAATCTGGTCATGTGTCCATCCCTGAGCCAACCACATGGCACTGATGGTCTGGGACATAAGCCCGT